AAAAAAATTAAAAAACGGTGCTTTGGAGAGGATCTACTTGGTTAGCAGGATTATTTCTTTCTCAGAAAGAAGAGAGGAGATGAGTTTTGCCTGTAAAGAGTAAGTGATCTCTGGAAGACAGAATTGGCTGGGAAGAAATAGGACCTGATTAAGGATCTGCCTGCAGTGTGAAGTTTAGATAGTGGAGCATTTGAGAAACCTTTGTGAAATAACTTGACAGACAGCTGCAGATAAATATACAGAGTTTCAAAGTCGTAGCCCCACCACCAGTCTTTTATTTTAAAAGTCAAAAACTGGTTTTGAGTTCCATAATAATAGACCCATATCCTGTTTGTTTCAAGGAGGGTTAGGGGAACAGATTTGAGTTAACCAAGCGTTTATTACAAACAGCTGTGAAGAACTCCGGTCCTGCACTTGCAAAGCTCTTCAAGGGAGATGAGGAATTAAGATCTGTATTTTTGTGTGTTGTGTTTTGATGCTTAAAAAGCAAGATGAGACTTGGCCAGTTCATTATTTTCTTTTTCTTTGTCTTCATATAACTTTTGGAATTTTGATGGGTTCAGTTAGAATACTCATTCTGGATTGCAAGCATGTGAATAAGTGAATAAATGCTTTTTTGTTGTTGTTCAAAAAAGTACCTGTCAGTGTTTCTTCTGTTAAACATTACATGTAGCTGAAATTTAAATGATACACTCATTGCAGAAAATTTGGAAGAAAGCCTCAGTCTTACCTCCCAGCTAGGTGTTATAGTTGTAGGCTTTATTTATATTACCGGTTTTCTAACTCCAACACTAACAGCAAGTGGCAGAGTATTCCTCTGGGTTCTTGCAGTAAGTTGGACATCTTCACACAGAAGATAATCTGACCTAAAAAACTGCAATGACTAGTTTTATCTTTATTATACATTAATTTTCCAAATATATTTCCTTTTACCTCACCATCGAATTTCTCTCTAACAAAGGTTTTCATAGACTGGCATTGATCTCTGATGCCTCTTCAGTTTGTGGGTCTGTAATCTGAATTTCGTGGCTTACATGAGACACCAAGAAAATACTTCGCAAATGTAAGATGATTCGATCCCTCTTTCTTTTTCCTCTTTCTTTACATGAACTGATCTGATGTGAAACAAAGGCTCAGAAATTGCCCTTCTTCCGGTTTTCAGATTTGCGTTCACGCTTGTCAGCCTTAACCACGAGGAGCCTTGCGTAATACCGCAGCTCCGACTCCGGCGTTGAAAGGGAGGTCAATCATCTAGTCCTATCCCTGTGGGTTAACTAAAACCCATCTTTAAAGAAAAAATTACCAATGACTTTAAAGCAAATTGGTAAGCCAAAATAAACAAACTTGTGAGGAATGGATTATCCTTGTTTTTGCTTGTCTTTAGTTTTATTGACGCCTGCGTGCTATATGTGACAGATGGGAGAAGTCCCTTTAGTGGCCATTTGGTGGAGAGAACTGTCTTCATCAGTTGCTATGAACAGCACTTACTATTATCTGTTAACTCCATCTGCTTCTCACATTTTATTTCTTTTATTTTTTATTTTATTTTAGTTTTTGGTGGAACCGGGGATTGAACTCAGGCCCTTGTGCTTGCCAGGCAAGCACTTATTCTACTGAGCTATCTCCCCAGCCCCTCGCCTTTTATAAGAGCAGAGCAGCTTGTGTGTATTTCTTAGGGATTGTTTTAGAATGCATAGAGGCAGGCTTTGGGCATAGTTCAGTGGTAGGACCCTGTGCTT